AACAACAACAACAACAACAACAACAACAACAACAGCAACAACAACAACAACAACAACAACAACAGGAGCTGCGTTATGGCATTCCCTTTCAGTGCTGTAATTCAAGCAAAATGCCACACTTTAAAAAAGACACATTTGTGTTTAGTAGGATGCTAAATAAAAAAGAAATAAGCCAAACTTGTTCTCTGATCTGTTCCAGAGTGTCCAATGTCTCCAGCTTTGTTAGCCAGATGTCCCTAGCCAAGTGTTCGGACGCATTGAGGTCAAAGTTCACGAACCCAAACCTCCGAATGGATGAGCTCGTCTCTCTTCTCAAGCAGTTTGTGAAGTAAGTGAAAACCGCTGAAATAGATGATGTTTTTTGTTACATGCATGTAGGTGTGTGTGTGTGTGTGTGTGTGTGTGTGTGTGCGTGTATGTGTGTATTTGCGTGTTTACCTGTGTATGTACGTATGTGGGGAGGGTGCCTGGTCCCTATGGAAGCCCAAGTCCCTGCTAGATCTGTGCTTGTGGTGAAATGAAAGAAGAATTTTTATTTTTTTTAACTGTCACTCAAAACACGTTTGTTTACGGCCGCAAGTCACTCGTTCCAAAGACTGAACCGCGCGAGAAAAGATTCAAACAATTATTTTTAAAATTCTTGAATATTGTGAAAGAGTAAATTTCTTTTTCCTCCACGGTTTTGTTACGGGAGCCCTTTCCCATGGCGCGCTGTGTGTATAAATGAAAGCTAATGTTGACAAATCACGGGACGGAAATGAATATCATTACAGGAAACGGAAATTCAGACTTTAAATAAAAAAGAAGTCAGGGACATTCGCACGACTCAATATAATCTATTTTCGCTGCAATTGTTACATTTCTATGCTTCTATCGATCGGGCGAAGATTTATGGGTTGTGATTGGGAAATAATCATGAGAAACATTCCTTTAATGACTTCGGCTCAAAGTGAGCGAATGAAAAGCCTCACTTATGGTGTGTGGTGATGAGGTTTAATTGTCCTTGAATGTGTGATAGTTTTATTACCTTGTTTTTTATATATATTTTTGGTGTGTCGTTTTTATCTTTTTAAAAAAAAGATATTCTACTAATAGCACAAGTGACATTAGGAAACAATATTTGCACTTATACAGCGTTCCGTTTCTCTTCTGTCATGAATACATTGTACTCAGATATCTGGTCAGAAATTAATTCCGCATCCCCTTGCTGCTATTTCATTCATTCTATCATTAGATTTATCTGCCGTCACGCCCTTCCACC